CCCCTCTGGGGCAGCACCCAGTCCAGCCCACGTCCTCAGAATAACATTTGCCACCAAACCACAGGGTCCACGGGGCACGGAGCCGGGGTCTTTCTCTTTCCACAGAAAGAGGGACTCGCCTGTCATGAGCAGTGACCAGAACAGCTGTGGCCACTGTGTGTGCCACTGTTCCTCTGTGCCCCCAGGAGGTATGAGCAGAGCCCACACCCCAGAACCTCCTTCACTCAGGCTTCCCCACCTATTAGCACCATCCTCCTTCGTGGGCCCCACACCCCCACAGCCATCCCACTGCCCTCCCACCCAGGGCCCAAAAAGTCCTAGACTCAGGTTGAGCCCAGCTGTCCCAGGGGCTCCCCCTACCCAGTGGGGGGCAGAGACCCTCAGCCTAGAGTCTGCCCCTCCCCCTACCAGGCTTATCTGAGGGCCTCTGCCCATTGCAGGGCTGGGACTGGGGGCCCTGGCAGAGTCTGCTCTAGCCCTGGGCTTTCCTGTTTTCCAGGGGAGCAGGTCTGATGGACAGCTGGGGTGATGGTCAGTGACAATGTGTCCCCTCTCCTGGGGTTCACGCTTCCCCATTGCTCAAGCTCTGAAAGTGGTGGGCCCATGTGTTCCAGTTTCTCCCATTTCTGGCAGGAGGGTAAGTCCAGGCTGTGCAGCTCCATCATGGCCAGAAGCGACCAGTTCCCTTTTGAGGGACACCTAGGTTGTTTCCCACACTCTCTCCCTGTGAAGGCCACTGTGGACCCTGCACACGTGTGTCCCGCACCCAGGGAAGGGCATGTGCCTGGACCCACAGGGTGAGGATCCACAAGGCTCACCGTGACACGGACCTGCATGCTCCCTCAGACAAAGCGTCCCTGCCGTCCCCTTCCCTCAGTCCCCTGATCCTCCCCAGTGCTCCTCCCTGGGACCTTCTTCTCCTGCTTTCATCTCCCTTCCCATCCTCATCTCCTTTCCTGCCCTCTCTCGGCCTGTCCCTCACCTACTTGGCTGTTTCTCTACTTCCCTGTTCTGCCATCTCCACATGGACACTCTTCTCCCCTCTGGACAGGTGGTCCCCTGACTGTGCCAACCCCATTTGCAGCACAGAGGCCTCCATAGCTCCAAAGGCTTCCGTGGTGCAGAGGTTTGTGGCTCTCCCCTGGCTTGCAAGACCACCCATCCCAGAGCTGTAACTAGGGTTATGTGGAGTGGCTGACCAGCACGTGCACCCAGTTATTAGGGCCAACCCCATTTGCTCCTCTTGGGGTCATGTACCTGGCCTGGGTTCAGGCTTTCTGCCTTGGTTTCCTCACCTAGAAGGAGGTTTATTGATGGTCCCAAGAGCTGGGAGGGCACTGACCGAGGTTTCTCTAGAGGGTGCAAGAGGGTGGGGGTATCCGGGCTGAGCCTCGAGTGGTGGAGCGTTTTAGTCACTGCAGGCCCAGAGGAGGGTGAGTGGGACTGCTGGGTTGCCTGTGAGCATGGAGGAAGCACCTTGAAGGCTGGGGTGAGGCTGGGACAGACAGAGAGGGAGGCCAGGAGGGCAGCCCGCGTAGGGGGCAGGGCAAGGAGATGGACAGAGGATGAGGAGGGAGGGAGAGCTGGGCCACAGGGTGTTCAGAGTGTGGAACACCCCGGAGATGTCTGGGATGGCACCTGATGGCCTGGTCTGGAGCTGGGAGGGATGGTTGAGCCTGGGCAAGTGCCTCACCCATGTGCCGCTCCACGGGGCAGGCAGGGTTTCCCAGCAGACACCTACCCTCTGGGAAGTCCCATGCTGCTCTGAGCTGGCCCTGCCCTCCTTGACCATCCGGCCTTCCCCGTCCCCAGGCTGGAGCTGCCATCACCCCGACCAGGGAGTGGAGGCAGAGTCCTGCAGACCCACTTCGCCTCCTGGACTGGTTCTTGGGCCCCTCCATCTGTCTCTGCTCTGCCTTCACCTGGTGACTCCAGGAGCCTCCTCAGCAAGCTTCTGTGTACCTGCTGACCTGCCACAGCCGTGGGCTGCACAGTCTGCTCTGCACAGGACACACTGGTGTCTCCACCTCCCTCGTGGTGGAGGACACATGCAGACGTGTACACTGCTGCCTCCATCCTCTCTGGAGTGGGCTGCAAGTGCCTCTTGCTGTGCCATAAGGCTCAGCCCATGTGCTTCCTCAGAGAATGCCCCTCCCACCTTGTCCCCCACAGGCTCCTATTCATCCTCCAGAGCCTCGTGTGGCACGTCCTCCCCACTCTGAAAGCCCTCAGCACAAATCTGGGTTTTAGGCATGGTTTCCTCAGTAGACCATGAGCCAGGAGGGCAAGGCCCTTCTCCTCTGAGCCCACTGCCCAGCCAGGCTAGCACAGAGCAGGTGAGCTGAAGCCCACCTTGGAGAAGGCAGTGTCAAGGGGGAGCCCCTAGGGGAGGCCTCAGAACCCCACCCTCTCCCTCCAGATCCAGGCACCAGCACTTGGGTTCTCATGGCCTGTCCCACCCTCAATGCCAGACACTCCCTGGGAAGGAAAGTGGAAGTGCCATCATCAGGGAGTTTCCAGTTAGACTCCTGAAGACTGTCCTGCCAGGGAGGCGGCTACAGCCCTGCCACAGTGGGGACCCAGGCAGGCAATGCATGGAGGGCCTTTTGAGAGCAGCCGGGTGATGGCAGCTGAACTCGGAGGCCCCACAGCCTGGAGCTCTTCTGCCACTCCAGGGCCGGCTGAGGACAGCCTCAGCATGACACAGTGTCAGCCTCATCTCCATCTGCACTGGGGAAGGTGTGTGAGAATGCCCCCCAAAGCCTCTGCCTGGTCTTCCCCTGGCCCTGGGAGTGGTGAGCTAGGCACCAGCAGGGTTGCTCCTGAGTCTCTGGGTTCAGGGCCTGGCTGTGACAGCAGAGCCCTGTCAGGGCAGGTCATGGGGATAGGAAGGAGAGGTTCCACCCACCAGGGAACAGCGGGGCCTCAAGGAGCCTCAAACTAGAGTGGGGCTGGGGGGGTCCCAACTCCTGCCCTCCCCCTGCTGATCCCAGGTGCCCCACTGAAGGGAGAATGACCCCCAGTAGGTGACAGCTAGTGATAGGGCTAGGGGTTGTGAGAGGCCTGTCTGTCTCATCTCATCACCGGTGGCCCTGGTACCCTGAGCATGGCCTGGAAGTGATAGATGCAGAAACTTTAACTGGACGAGTGGACGAGTTTGAGAGAGAACATCTGGGTGCTGGGCCGGAGCCCACAAACATTCCTGTGACAGTGGAGACAGAAGCTAGGGCCAGACCACAGGGTGGAAGATATGAGAGAGAGACCAGAGGGCACCAGTCGTGGGCACAGGGTGAGCAGGAGGATTAAGTAAGATTAAGATTAAACAAGGTTTAGTTCCCCTCAGTGAAGGCCTCTTAAAGACGTGGACAGAGCACAGCCAACATCCTCGGCAGGGCAGACGGACTCCCCTCGGGCCCTGAGGCCCGGTACCCAAGAGCCCGGAGCCCTGCATGGGGCCCAGGTCCCCCAAACCTTGGGGGTAGACAAGGAGATTAAGTGGGGGGGGGTCTCCCCAGAGGGGCTGAGGCTCACTGACCCCAATGGGTAAGTGTGGGACTGGCCATGCCTCAGTTTCCACACTTGCCAGGGTAGGGTAGGTGAGCTGACCCTAAGGGGGTATCTACGGGGTGTGATGGGCTGGGAGCCGGGTATGGGGTGGCAGGGGGCTACACCACCCAGGAACTGCCCCTTATCAGAATCCTCTGCCTCTGCCTGAGGGTGTCCTTGGGCTGGACGCAGTGGGTGTGGGGTGGGAGTTGGTGTCCCTGCATCCTGGAACTCCTGCCTTCCAGGCAACTGTAAACTGTGGGGTTTCTGCAGCACTCCCCCAGGAAACAGCAAGCAGGGTGGAGTGTGTATGGGAGACCCCTTTCTTTTCCTTGGAAACCCCCATGCCTATCTGTGGGCAGGGGACACTCACGAGGGGGGCACAGGGCAGGCAGCATGCCTGCAGCCCTGGGGCATAGGCTTTGCTGGCTGGCATCTCACAGGACTCCCATGCCCTTGGGCGCCACCTGGAACCTCCCACCTCAGAACACTGTGGTCTGGGGCACTGGGCTCATCTTCCCAGGGATGGTGGCCAGCAGTGGACCTGCCTCTGGAATTGGGGACACTTTGGCCTGACAGGACAGCACCATTCACCCCAACCTATGTAACTTCACTTCTGCCTTGTCCTTTCCCTAGGGCATCCCCTGGAATGCGATTAGGCAGGGACCATGGCCACATTGGTGGCTGTTACCAGTGCTACCCACAGTGACCCCTGCCAGGGGACAATCCTGCCATGGGCCAGCTCTGGTTGAGTCCAAGGGGCTGGGGACTTCCTATTGGGGGGGGGTCACTGTCTTCTGGGTTCTGCTGCAGCTTCCTGTGAGTGGCTGCTCCTCTCCTACAGACCAGGGTTGGCAGGATTCCCACTGCCATGTCCAGCAGAGGCTACTGAGTCCTGCTGGGGCTGGTAGGGGCAGAGGACAGACCCTGGAGAAGGACTGTGGTTCAAAGTCAGGACTAGGAGGGTCTTTGGGTCAGACCGGGGCTGGGAGTCTAGCAGGTGGACCCACTGGAGGGGAGGCTCTTGGACATGACCAGAATGCTGCCCTGGGGCCTGATCCAGACCTGCCCAGTGCAGGACAAGCACATGGGGGCCACGTCTGATCTGGCAAGGCAGCCTGATCTGGACCAGGGAGAGGGAGGCCAGCTGGTACTCAGCCATACATGAGATAAGAAGTGATAGGAAAGAAGTGCCATGGGTGGCTCGCCGGAGCCCCCCCCCCCAGGCCTCCAGGGGCTTGGGGCTCCTCCCATGAGCACCCCATGCCTATCTGAGGGCACCAGGCATGTGGTTGTCCCCCACCCCAGGAGGGCTAGCCGCGGCTCTTAGGGGAGGGCTGTGGCATGGGAAAGCCCAGTGAGGAAGAGGCCCCAGAAGGCTGGGCTGTGGGCCTGAGCCAGGGCGCTACTTTCTGAGTCCCCATCTGGGGGTCTGGCCCTGGTGAAGAGGTGGCTTTCCTTTGGAAGGGAGAGAACTTCACCCAACTCATGGTAAGCTGGACAGTGAACAGGAAGGACACCCACCAAGGACTCTTTCTTTACCCAATTCTGGGGAAGCTGGGACATCCACCAGGGACACTTTTCTTCAGCAAGCATGTCAACGCCTCCCTGTGTGTGTGGAGAGTGGGACAGAGGCAGAGGCACTTTTTTTTTTTTTTGAAAGAGTCTCATTTTGTCACTCCTGGTAGAGTGCCATGGGGTCACAGCTCACAGCTGTCCCAAGTAGCTGGGACTAGAGGCGCCCGCACACAACCCACCCACAACACCCAGCTGTTTTTTGGTTAGAGTGAGTTGTCATTGTTGTTTGACAGGCTTGGCCCCAGGCTCGAACCCACCAGCCTCTGTGTATGTGGCTGGCGCACTACTCACTGAGCTACAGGTGCTGAGCCAGCAGAGTCAATTTTGAGGCCGTCTCAGACTCGCTCTTCCCTCCCTGAGGGTTTCTCTTTTACTTTCTCTTTCAGCTGAAAATGGCTGGCCATGGCATCGAGTGTAGCTGGCCGGGGTCCTGAGCAGACAGCCAGGGACTGAGGCACCCTAATGAGGGACACAAAACCTCCTCGCGGCTGGACGGCGTCCCCCTGGAGACCAGCACCCAGAGCTGACGTCTTGTGGCTGGTGAGCCCCTGCCTCTGGCTATCTGCACCACCCTTCCCCCCTGCTCTCTGCAACCTCCTTCCCTGAGCTCCTGCCAGCTCAGCCCCTCAGCTGACCCAGTCCCTCCCAGCCCCACCACTGTCCACAAGGGGGGGCGGAGGCGCAGAAGGAGAGCCACAGCCCCACCTGAGATGGGGCTAGCAGTTGTGACCTAGGCACTGCCTGAGTCAGGAAGTCTCTCAGAACAAAGTTTCTCAGTCACCATGATGAAGACAGGAGGGAGGCGGAGCTCAGTCGGATCACAGACGGTTGAGGGAGCAGGGCCTGAGGGGACATTCTGCCCCTCTCTATCCTGTTGCTTAAGTAGGAAGGTGATCTGACTGAGGAGGGTGGCTCTCTTCTGGGGGAGAGCTTGGCTCTGCCGTCTGAGTTCTGCTTTCTCTATTTCTCAATAAATCTTGTTCTCATTTCATTCTGTGGCTTGCTCCTGAATTCTTTCTGCACTCTTGGAACTCATATGGCTCCAGCATTGGGGCTCACTTTCCTGTGCCACACCCCTCCCCACCGATTTCAGGGATGCTGGTGGCCCCCCCCATGGCAGGATTCTGGGGCCAGTTGGCACTTGGGGGGCCCTGGGCCGGGACATGTCTCTGGGTGGCCCTGGAGCAGGCAGTCAGTCTCACTTGCTGGCAAGCTCAGTGTCTGTGCTGCGTGGACCTGGGACCACTGCTGGGCAATCCACCCTGGAACCACGTCCCAGCAAGACCACACTCACCTTAAGGGCTCTTGGCCAGCCTGTCTCCCCTGCCTGGGCCTCAATGGCCAGGGCATCCAGCCAGACCAGCAGGGAACTGGCAAGTTGTTGGTCCAGGAGAACTCGGGGGTCCCTCGGAGTGGGGTGTGAGGTCCCTGGCAAGAGCTGAGGGCCCATTCTCAGGGTCTCATTGTGCCTAGCAGGAGCATCAAGGCTGGAGGAGGGGTGGTCCTCATCCCACCCAGATGCCAAGCATTGTCCAAGGCCATTCCTTGAGCCTGGTCTGGGGCACACCTGCGTCATCCCCCCCTGCTCCCCAGGCCACTGCCAGCCACAGGGCTGGGGTTTGCCGTTGCACAGAGGGGAGACTGACACCTGGAGACCATGTCTGGGCAGAGCCAACAGAGGTCAGCCAGGGCAGCTCCTCCTGCCAACACCTGTCCTGACCCCTCAGACGCTGTATCTCCTCTTCCTGGAATCCCTCCACTGTGCCCTGGCCCTGCCCTCTTGCAAAGAAGAGGAGTACCCGGTGGACAACGAATGTTGCCCCAAGTGCAGCCCAGGTAGGTGCAGCCTTCAGAAGCGCCAGCTCCACAGGAGGAGCTGGTCCACACAGCACAGACACTGAGCTTGCCAGTGGAGCTTGTCAGCCTCCATCACTGGGCAGACGCTCTTGTCCCCTTCCTGTCCCTAAGACCCCTCTGTTCTCTGTCCCCACCACCATGGGGGGCTGCCCAGGGCAGCTCTAGGGGACCCTCAGGGCAGCCCCAGGGGACCTTCACAGTTGTGCTACTCAGGGTGGGCCCACCACGCACCTCAGCCAGACCTGGGTGCCCCGGGAGCCCCACGCTCCTCCAGACCTCTCCGCCTCATCCAAAGCAGGCCACTGTGGAAGGGCCAGGGCCGACTCACCCCGAGAAGAACAGTCCATGAGCCCCCTGAGTGCCCATGGCTGGTGGGGCAGAGGCAGAGGAGGGGTGGGTGGGCTCCAGTAGGGGCCTCTGCATCCCTGAGAAGTGTCACACCCTGGGTTATAGGTTACCACGTAAAAGAGCCCTGCGGGGAGCTGACAGGCACCGTGTGTGTGCCCTGTCCCCCGAGGACCTACACTGCCCATGACAATGGCCTGAGCGAGTGTCTGCCGTGCCGCGTGTGTGACCCAGGTATGAGGGCCGACCCTAGCTGAGCACCTGGTGCTCATCTCCATGGGGCTCTGTGCAGGTGTCCTCAAGGAGCCCAGGCCTCTGTCTCCACCTGTCATTTTGTCACCTGGGCCTTCTTGAGCTCAGCCCTAGCCGTTGACTTCATCCTTGACCCTTCCAGCCAGGTGACATGGGTGGGTGACCTGACTTCTCCCGCACCTCAGTTTCCCCACCTGTAAAGTGGGTTCTTGGATGGTGCTGGGGGTCCTTCAGCAAGCACAGGGACTAGCTGCTTCCCCGTTGTGTTCCACACCCCTTTCCTCTCCACATGGGCTCCCCATGTGACCCCAGGAGAAGGGGTCATCTGAAGGCTGGTGTCCACCTGGGTCCAGGCAGACAGAAAGGGGCAGTGCCCTTGGGAGTGCCCAGCCTAGCCGGGCCCTGCTGCCAGCACTGTCTCAGCAGAGCTGTCTCTCCAGACATGGTCTCAGGCATGGTCAGGTCCCCACGAGAAAGCAGGGCAGGGGACCATCTGTTTTGCTGATGGAGAGGCTGAGACCCAGAAACTGGCCCAGAAGCAGGGCCAGGCACCCCCCTCGCCCACAGCCCTTCCTCCCCCCATGATGCAGATTCCTGATGGGGAGGTATGGGGGCTGAGAAGAAGGGGGTCCAGCTCAGAGAGAGTCAGGCCCAGGCCTGCAGCCCCACCCATGCCCACCCTCAGATATCCCAGGCTGCGGCTCAGTCACAGAATGTGACGGAGGGCCAGGCAAGACAGGGCTGGGGGACACACCTAGGCCAGCACCTGGTGGGGAGGCAGGCTGAGGAGAAAGGCCAGAGACAAGAAGGGGGCTGAGACTTTTGGGGTTCATGTAGGATAGGACTGGCGGCTCACTTTTTAACCTGTCCCCCCTGAGAAAGTACCTATCTAATTAGGCTCAGGGTGCAGGGCACGGATGGCAAGTGAGGCAGCCCTGGGAGGGGCCCAGAGATGAGTGCAGGCACTTGCTACAGCTGTCACTGCATCTGAGCAGCCCGGCTCACACAGATGGGAAGTTTGTCTGAGGGGTGGGCCAGCAGGCCTAGGCTAGGACCTGCCCCCACACCCCTAGAGCTGCCACTGGTTTCTCAGTGTGCTTCTGGGCCAGTTGAGCAAAAGGTCAAGGAGCCCCTCCTGGAACCACTGCAGCCCTTATCCTGTCTGCTGCTACTGTCCTTGGAGCCCTCTAGGACTCAGGCCCCTGGGCTTGGTAACTCTGGGTACCTTGTTTGTCTGAGTGGAGGTGCAGGATCCCTGGGGACAGAGTTTGGGGCCTGGAAACAGGTAAGCCAGGCCTCGGCTGGGCTGGATCCCAGCCCCTCCCAGGCCCTCCCAGGCCCCAGATGGGAGCCCCAGAGCTGTGAGTGCTGGGCCTCCCCCAGGCAGTGCCTCACCACTGCCCAAAGCACCTGTACTCAGCCCCTTCTCTTGGGTCCCAGCCATGGGCCTGGTCACCAGGCTCAACTGCTCCAGGACAGGGAACACCCTGTGTGGCTGCAGCCAAGGCCATTTCTGCGAGGATGCTGACCACTGTGCTGCCTGCCGGCCCCACACCCTGTGCCGCCCTGGCCAGAGGGTACAGGAGAGAGGTGAGGCAGCAGGGGTGACAGTCCACCCCCAGTCCCCAGACCCAGTGCCCTCCCTGCCTGATCTCAGGTCCTCTCCTCCAGGGCCAGCCCAACCACCCCAGCTCTGCCCTGCGGCAGCAAAGGAGAACACAGGCCATGGAGGGAGGCTAGGGCAGGGAAGGACCCCAGCTTGCTCCACAGTGGTCTGGGCCTCCAAGTCCTCAGGCTTGTGGAGTGGCTTGTGTCAATGCCACTGTTCACCCAGATTTTGAAATGAGTGAGTGCTTGGCGCCTGGCCAGGCTGCCTTCCTCTATGGCATCTGTGAATGGTGCACAAAGAGACTGGTGGACTCAAAGTCCCAGCCTCTTGATATCCAGGATGGCTCAGACCCCACCTCCCTCAGCCTCTGCCTGGGCCAGCCCCTGCCCCCAGGCCCTGTTACCAACCAGCACAGCAGGCAGGTCCAAAGGGCACAAAGAGACAGCCCCTGCCCAGGGAAAGCCAAGACCCCTCCAGGCCTGGTCCCCAGGGTCCCCTCTACCCATCCCTCTCCATTTCTCAGGCACTGAGAGGCAGGACACAGTGTGCCAAGACTGCCCCCCAGGGACCTTCTCGCCCAACGGGAGCCTAGAGGAATGTCAGCCCTGGACTGAGTAGGTGACCACAGGGTGGCTTCAGCCCACGCCCAGGGCAGGGCCTCTGTGTTGCTCCCATGAGAGATGACTGCCCTCCCTCAGTGCAAGTTTCTGCTGGGCCCAACCAGGGCGGCACCACAGGCAGGTGCCAGCACCCAGAAGAGCTGGGGTGGGAGGAAGCCTGTGTCCTACAGATAATGCACATTAGACCCAGAAGGCTGCTGCTGCCATAGCCCTGTCCCTGGGGTGTGAGGCATCCCTGGATGCCAGGGTCATGGGAGGGCTCCCTGGGCTTTGGGGACTTGAGGTGGCTGTCGGGTGCAGTTCCCAAAGTAAGGACCCCCCAACCTTAGACCTTACAGCCTCTAGGGTGGGCCAGAGGTGGCTGCCCCGGGGAGGGTGCACAGGGCTCTCTGTCCCACTCTGTCTTCCTGGTCCTCTGTCCCCAGCTCTGGCCCTGACTTGGATCTCCCTCTGTCCTCTGCTCTAGTCTGGCCCTTCCTGCCTGGGATCTCTGGACCTCTGGACCCCTCCCCCTCTGTCCTGTCTCCCTGTTGCCATCCTGTCTCCATCTGCCAATCAGCCCAGTCTCCTGGAGCCCCCTGCCAGCTGGGGCCCCTCCGAGTTCCACCTGAGCACTGTCTGTCATGGTACCTGCGGCACCCACACTCCTTGGCTGCTCTTCGGCAGGTGCAGTGGCTGGGTTATGAAGGAAACAGAACCTGGGACCAGCAGCTCAGATGTCACCTGCTCCTTCAGGACCGAACCTATTTTGATTATCATTTTTCCCATTCTCATTTGTATATCTGTCACAACAATCTGGATCTGCATAAAAAGAAAGCCCTGGGGTAAGCAATTCCATCTTCTCCTTTCCACGCTGGTGTCTTGAGCAGACTCCTGTCCAAGCCCTTCCACAGTCCTGTCCCTCCAAACCTGGAGAGGGGGCCCTCTCTTACCTCTGCTGCCCACCTAGGGATTGGCCTTCCTGCTGTGCTCAGAGCTAGATGTCAGGTGGCCTCCCTGGGGGATAAGAGAAGGTAGAGCCCTGACTGAGGAACCTGGGGGCCACCTACTGCTGTGCAGGGCAGTGCAGGGCAGCTATGCTACCGAGATCAGGGTTGACAGCTACCTGCAGTGGACAAGGCCATATCCCCACCGAGAAGACTCAGGTCACTCATTCCTTCACTCCTGTGTCCACTTAACCACCCTGCTCTGGGCACCATGGCTATGCCATACCCCCTGGTACCTGGGTCCCAGGTATAGACCCAGCTTTGGCTCTGGGAGCCCTGAGCACAGCCCCCAGGGGAGCAGGCTCTAAGCACAAAAGCCCTCAAGGGTAAGGTCACCACACTCTCCACCTGTGTCCTCCCCCTAGGCCCTCTGAGTGCTGGCAGCTTTTGGTCTCAGGCACTGACACAGGCCAGGGGCTGGCCCAGTCTTCTGCCTCAACCTCACTCTGGGTACCTGCTCCCTGGGGGTCCCTCCTCTGTGAGGCACTCACCCCTCTCCCCAGAGGAAGATTAAAGTTATGCACTCAGGGCATGGCAGCTGGGGAAAGGATGGGGTGTCCCTAAGTCTCCTCACCTGACCTGGTTCCACTTTGTCTCATGAAGGTCAGTCTGTCAGGGAGGGTCCCAGGGGAGAAGCCAGGCATGTGTGGGTCACACCCCCTTGCTGTGGCCCTTGCCCTGACACGTGTGCCTCCACTTTGCAGGTGTGTTCAACAAGGTGAGTCTGTGCAGGTGCTGATCTTCATCCAGTCTCTCCACTTCCCACTGCAGTTGGTGCTGCTGGGGTGGGGGTTCCAGTTCTCAGAGGAGCCCGAGTGCTTAGCACATAGCGAGCGAGCTCAGGAGGGAGCCTGGCTTCTCACACTGAGAGCAGAAACCTGAGGCCATGGCGGGAGCGCCAGAAGGTTGGGTTTTCACGCTGCATTTGCCCACAGCTGAGGGCACCAGATGCGAGAGGTGAGAACATGGCCATGGATGCCCCGCTGGCCATTCCGGACATCACCACAGTGGCCGTGGAGGAGACAGCATCCATGCTCACAGAGAGAGACCCAAAGCTCTGACCCATGGGCTCCAGGACCAGAGCATCCAGCTGGCAAGACTGCGGGAGCCAGGGGGCCTGGTAGCCCCACCCTGGCGGCCCCTGCCCTGGCTTGGCTTCATCTTCCAGCCTCCAGAAGAAAAGATAGAGCCAATGCTGAGGGTGGGGTGTGGGTGACACACACAAGATCCCCTGGCTGAGACACTCCCCAGCCAGCCCAGCACACTGCCCACCTAAGGGGCTGCCCTTCTGGATCCTGCAGAGGCTCGACTGGCCCATCTGGAGGCAGCTGTGGGCACTACCTCACCCCTCACGGGGACTAGACTGGGTTGGCGTGATATTAAATGAATACCCTGTTCCAAGGGTTTTTCTAAATAGGATTGTGCTCAGCTCCTTTCTGCTGTTTATCATGAAAGAGGGTGACTTGGGAGGCCCTTGGAGATGGGTAAATGTCTGCCCCTCACCACACTTCATCTCCTGATCATTCTCACCTGAGAGTGATTGCAGCCAGGTGCACTCATCCTTACCAGGTGCCACTGGATGGACTTCACCACAGATGGGTAGGAACACACACTTGCACATCGGTGTCACAGGTGCAGGGACAGGGAGACACAGCTGCACGTGCACAGGGGCGCTGCTGGAGAGCAAGGAGGCTTCACCCGACACCTGTCCCCGCACCCTCTGTCTGCCCCCTCTGCCACCAAACCCCTTCCCAAGCAGCACCGACCCCTCCCTCCATCCTAGCAGACACAGAAGGTCGCCTCAGCACCGCTGCCCTTGTCAGAATCCTGCCAACCAGCCAGGGCCTGCTGTGCTGTCACTGGTTTCTTCAGCTTCAGGCCTCACAGTCCAGATGCTGTGGAAAGTTACACGGGTTAGTTTTTATTTCCTCTCTTTTTCTGTGTGTTTTATTTATTTTAAGCATAATTTTATTTGTTTTTTGAGTGTGAATTCTATTTTGCAGGCTGACTTTAGCTGTCATCTAGCTAGTTTATCTACCTACCTATTTAAATTTTAATCCGAGGAACGTGAACCAGGGCTTAGATGTCACATTACTGGGCTAGACTCCAGCAGAGGGGTGGAGGTCTGAAATGCACTTTCCACCAACTTGTCTTTGGTTCACTGAGGCTGACAGAACACTCCTCCCACTGCCATCCCTGACATCTCAGGGTGTCCTACACTAGCAAACCCTAGCCCTACTCACCTGCCCATGGGCTTTCAGCAGCGTGGGCTGTGCCAGGCACCAGTGTGTCCCAAGGAATTTTAAAGGATTGGAGATGCACAGCTGGGATAAGCCTCATGTAGCCTCAGCCACTCAAGTCACATGACGATGCTGGAAGGCCCGAATGGTGTCCCCTGTTTCCCCATGGGTGTGTCCCAGGGTCCCCCAGAGTGAGTGCCTTCATGGCCATAGCTACTAGCTGGGTGTAAGGGTCATTCGAGGTCCACCAGGGACCACTCCTTTCTGCAGCCTTGCAGAACACGATAGGACGCCTATTATGTTCCTCTCCTGTGTTGACATAGGTGCCTCTCCTGTGTTGACATAGGTGCCTGCCCTGCCAGGGCCACAGAGTGAAACTCGCCTGGTGTGCTATTTGTGCAGATGCCCATCTCTGTGTCTTGTCAGCCCTGGGCCCCTACCAGGCAAGCAGGGACAGGCCCTGCAGCCCAGAACCCAAGGAAATTACTCAATCCCAAGCTGCTCATCGGCCATGCACAGGCTTTCCTGAGGAAGCTAATTAAGGACACTGTGGACTCACAAGCTGTCAGCAGAGCTTGAACTCCTGGTGCAGACACAGGGCCCTGCCCACCCAACCCTGAGCAGGAGCTCTACAAGGGTGTGTCTTGGGTATGGCAGGAGTTGGGTGGGACTCCGAGGAGCTGTGCCTGCTGCCAGCATCCTTTGCATCACCTCTTCCAGGGGATGTGAAGCACTCAACCTCAGCTCTCCCCATGGGGTAGGGGATGGCCTCCAGCCTGGGGGCAGGGAAGGCTGGATGGTCAGAGGAGGGCCAGGGCCAGCTCGGAGCAGCCTGGGACTTCCTAAAGGGGAGGCGCCTGCCAGAAAGTCGAGCCTGTCTCTTGGAGCGGCACATGGGGGAGGCCCCAGCCGAGCCTGACCAGGCCAGGCCATCGGATGCCATCCCCCTGACATCCCAGGGTGTCCCACACGCAGCTCTGAACACCCTGTGGTCCAGCTCTCCCTCCCACCTGGTCTTCTGGCCATCTCTTCGCCCTGCCCCCCACATGGGCTGTCCTCCTGGCCTCCCACCCCCAGCTCATCTCCCTCTGTCTGTCCCAGCCTCACCCCCAGCCTTTGGGGTACATCTTCCACACCCATGGGCATCCCAGTGGTCCCACCAACCCTCCTCTGGGCCTGCAGTGACTGAAATGCTCCACCACTTGGAGCCGGGCCAGACACCCCCACTCTCCTGCACCCTCTTGGGAAACCTAGGTCAGTGCCCTCCCAGCCCTTGGGACCATCAGTATACCCCCTTCGAGGGGAGGAAACCAAGGCAGAGACCTAGATCCAGGCTAAGGACACAACCCCAGAAAGAGCAAACAAGGTTGGCTCTAATAACTGGGTGCAGGCACTGGGCAGCCACTCCACATGGCCCCAGGTGTAGCTCTGGAGGAGGGGGTCTTACAAGCCTGCTGCAAGGGGCCGCAGGTCCCAGTTCAACAGATAAATAGACCCCTGTCCCTCTCTCCAGGGGACGCCACATGCCTCTGCACCATGGGAGCCTCTGGAGCATTAGAGGCCTCTGGGCTCCAAGTGGGGTTGGCATAGCCGGGGGACCACCTGCCCAGAGGGGAGAAGAGTGTCCATGTGGACATGGCAGAACAGGGGAGCAGAGAAAACAGCTAAGTGGTAAGAGACAAGCCAAAGGTGGGAAAGGAGATGAAAGCAGGAGAAGAAGGTCCCAGGGAGGAGCGCTGGGGAGGATCAGGGAACCGAGGGAAGGGGACGGCAGGGACACTTTGTCTGAGGGAGCATGCAGTCCGTGTCACGGTGAGCCTTGTGGATCCTCACCCTGTGGGTCCAGGCACATGCCCTTCCCTGGGTGCGGGACACACGTGTGCAGGGTCCACAGTGGCCTTCACAGGGAGAGAGTGTGGGAAACAACCTAGGTGTCCCTCAAAAGGGAACTGGTCGCTTCTGGCCATGATGGAGCTGCACAGCCTGGACTTACCCTCCTGCCAGAAATGGGAGAAACTGGAACACATGGGCCCACCATTTTCAGAGCTTGAGCAATGGGGAAGCGTGATCCCAAGGAGAGGGGACACATTGTCACTGACCAACACCCCAACTTTGTCCTGGAGGCACATTCGGGACAGCAGAGCAGGAACAAGGCTGCAGGCAGACCGTGGCAATCTGGCCAGGTCAGCAGCAGGAGGCCAGGCTTGGGAGGGCCTGCCCAGACAAGTAAGGGAGACAGCCACATGGAGTAAAAGCTCCTGATCTGCAGAAGGGTCCCCTTGAGGGTCCACTCAGTCATCTGCCAAGCACATGGAGGACAAAGCTCACCACACTGGCCCAGGAGCTGCCAGGCTACTGTGAGGTGGATGTTCCCAGAACTCCCAGGGCCAAGAGTCTGTGGGAGCACGGGGCAGTCAGTAGAGACTTCAGGGAGGCCTGTCCTTACTAGGGCTACTCCACCCAAGGGCAAAAGCGGGCCTGGCCCACTGTCACCAGGCTACAAAACCACCATAAGAAGGGCCCTGGGTAAAATAAAGGAAATTAAAAAAAAAAAAAAAAGAAGGGCCCAGCGGGCAGCAGGGCATCAGTGGCATGCCAGGACCCAGGGCTGTGTCCCTCAGAGGAAGGCCAGACCGAACAAGATCCAGATACCCACATATGGCACAGCACATCTGGCATTGAATATAAAGTTACTAATAGGCCAAGAGGCAGGAAAATGTGAGAAACAGATAGATGAGATCATCAGCCAGGGACCCTAAAATGATAAAACATACCTTAACAGAAAATACAGACATGATGAGAGAAGGGGCAGATGTAACAAGAACCTGCTGTGCGTTGACAGAATCTGCAGAGGATGGTGTGCCAGTTTGCTGGCGCTGCCAAAATGGCACAGCCCACCCGGTGTCTTGGATAACGAGTGGGAAGGCTCTCACAGTTTGGAGGCTGGAAGTCTCCAAAGATCCAGGTGTCTGAGGTGTTTTTTGTCTGGAGCTTCTCACCTGGGCTTGGCTTCTCTGTGAATGCTCACGAGGTCCCCGGTGGGTGTCCATGTCCTCGTCACCTCTTCTGAACACCAGTACACTTTCTAGGGATGTAACTCACCTCCATGACCATGTTGCCTCAATCACTGCCTGAAAGCCCCATCTTCAAACACAGTCACATCAGCGGCTGTGGCTTCACCCTGCGACTTTGGGAAGACACTCTCTGTCTACAGAAGCCTCACAAATGGGCCTTTGAGGTGATGGATATGTCTCACCACCAAAATGATGTGTGTTCAGGTTTCTTGAAACCTAGCGTGTGCAGGCCGTCGATGGGTGTGCTTTATTGCAAGTTGGTGCACCTGCTTTCAAAGGTAGGAACTGGGAGCACCTCTCCTGCCTCCACCCTGCCTCAGGTCACGCACAGAGCAGGGGTGATTGTGGATGGGAAATCAAGGAGCCAGGCCCCAGCCCAGAACCCCCAGAGGGCAGCCGGATATGGGATACACCAGCCCAAGCTCAGCTTGCAGGAACATCGGCACCTATGTGGCCTGTCTCTGGCTCCCACCATGGCTTCCCAGTGCCGGCTCCTTCCACACCACACTCTGAGCTGGGGCTGTCCCGCCTGCCCCACCATGGGCTCCAGCAATCCCCAGGCCCCTCCAGGCACCTCAGGCCTAGTGTTCACTTCCCCAAGGCCTGTGGGCCCTCTCCCGGGGCAGGAGCTCATCCATCTCATGTGTAGGTGTGCATGCGTGTGCACGCTGGCCTCCTATGCCTGGCTGCATTCCTGTGTCAGTCTGGGACTTAATGGCTAGGACCATGGGTGTGTATCCACTGCCCTACAGTCCAGAGGACCAGATCAAGGGGCCCAGGACTGCTTCCTCTGAGGGCCCCTTCCATGCTGCAGAGGCCGCCTTTTCCGGGGGCTAAGCAGACTGTAGAGAGCCTGGAGCCCCTTCCCTACTATTCTGAAGACACCACCCTGTGGCATTCTTTATCTTTGATTGTCCCCTGAGGCTCATCCCCAAATCCAGGCTCTTGGTGGAGGCTGCCTGGGGCACAGCCACGAGGAGAGAGGTGTCCCCCTCCTGGGCACTGGGCTTCTCCCTGGGTGCTGAGAAGGTTCTGGAAGTGCTGGTGGCTGCAGAACACAGGGACCATGCCTAACACCGCTGAGTTGTTCACATACAAGGGT